GATTGACTTACCCACATACTGTTTGGTGGACACTAGTATGCCCAGTATGACTAGGATCATGGCCGTGAATCTATGGTTCAGTCGGTCCACCCAGTCCCCGTCTGAGGCAGTCTGCACTGATATGAGTGCCTTCAAGATATGTGCGATCATCTCCACTCAACTCAAACTGTGTCACTTCTTCCTCATTCACCACAATTATATAACAGTTGCACAATTCAAAGATCAGGTTACGTAATTTTTCTTCGATATTCAGGTAGGTTAGAGAAATTTGATAAATTAGGCGTAGACGTCAATGGTGGGGTATCGGAACTGGCGGGAGATATTAAATTCTTCAAAATTAAGATAAGAACTGGTTTCCGCTCCAATTTGCAAGATAGCATGAATATAGCCAGTCGTACTGTTTTTCTAAATCCAAGCACAGGTAGGAATGTACGATCAAGTTGACAGTTCAGTTTCGAATTGATGACATGTTCAGCTTCATGATTTTTGAAGGCGTGCTAAAGGAGTTTTGTATATAGAAGCTAGATAGGTTGATTACATTTTTATCAGTTTTTATTTGTTTTATCGAAATTAATGATGTTTTTGAAGGTCATGAAATTATTTTCTATGGTAATTATGGCTTAATCCATTATTAAATGAAGTGTCATATAAAACGATTCTCCAGTTCTGTGCTCGTAAAACTGTATCCGGCAGATTGAACCTTACGCAATAACACCTGATTTTTCATTTTCAGTCAGACGGCTAAAAATTTAGACTTATCTGGCATGAGACTAACGCACGCGTTTCAGAATGGGTAAGTCCCAATAAAAACAAGATTATGTCTTTGTTTTGCAAAAAGAAAACGAATTTTACAAAGCAATGGTCAAATATTTGGGACAACAGTACAAAGGTCTTATATGGTTTATGATCGGTGATTTAAGTGGAGAAATTTATGCTAAGATTTGCTTTGAATGAAAAATCTATCAGTGACTAAAAAGAATTTCATTAAAATAAAAAGCACGGAAATGAATCAAAACAATTCTAAGGAGTACAAAATAACGGTTGGGAATTTATCTGGCTGGGAAATTTGAGGAAGTATTTTCATAGTTTTCTAGTAATTGGCGTTTTCTGTCGATATTTTACCGTCCTTTTAATTTAAAAAACGATCAAATAAGCGTAGAATAAGTAAAAATGCGTAGCAGGAAACGTGTTTACGGTTTTGCGACTAAGGGCTTCTTTTATAATTGAGTGAAATCCTATTATTTTTCAACAACCAACCATTTTCTAATCTGATTAAAAATGTACTAGAAACAAGACACCCCGACCAGCAAAGCCTCAAAATAAGGACTTAAGCTGAAAAATGTCGTTGTTGCTTCACTGATCTTAAGTAACATATAGATTTGAAGACTAGTTTTGTTCTACTATTTTCTCTTTTTTCTCACTCCATTTTTTCTACCCATAGCGTTTGTTCACGTTTTTACAATGGCCCGTTTGTGGAGAAAGAAACAATCTCATTAAGGGGCTACAAATGTAATAATCTCATTTGATAAGAAGATGAACACACATCAGATTTCCATAGAGGTGTACTCTTAAGTCGCCCCCGTCACGGAACAGGGCAAAGATGTAAATAATGCACAATTAAAGCTGCCGGTGCTTGATTGAAATACGGAACTAAGAAAAAAAAAGAAAAATAATTCGTCTCAACTAAGGTGAAATGAATAAAATAGCTCATTGTAACAACACATAACCGGACCTGGTATATTAATTTGATTAAAAACATCTGGGCTCAAAAATAATTCGAAGATGATGCTAGCACAACTAACAAAACACATCAAAAATCACAATCGCATTACTAAAAAAAAATTGAAGAAACTACAAATACAATGCTTTTTCCTTTCAAGAGTGGGGAAATAAATAATAATGTTGGTAGTTGTTTAATTAGCAAATGGCGTGAATGGTGTTTTATGGTAAGAGAAGAAGATTTCAGGCAAGATTGAACCTGAAGATTATATTCGTTGTTTTACGTGGGAGGGAAGGCATCTTGACAGTCAAATACTCATTATCTGCCCCCGATTTAATGGGCCGCGGGCGAATTCATCGAACAGCATCTATAAATAAATCCTAACATTTCGCGACTTTGTCAAATAAAATTAAAGCTGATAAAAATCGCACCATAAATTTTTCAATCACCTAGCTAGAATAAAATAAAGTTTATAGTGTTGAATCAGTGTGAGTTTTGACATAAATGACTGATCAAGTTTTTCGGCCTCTGGCACTGCTGAGAACAATCGCACACTAACATTTTGGGAATGAATAATACCACTTAGGAGAAGCGAAAAATATTCGACTAAAAGCATTAGCCTTTAAAAGTCGGCCTGGCCATAGTTAGTATCAAACTGAGTATTCTAGTTCATTGCACATTAAATCAATGCTTTGTGTATAAATCATCAGTTAAACTAAGATACTGAAAAAGTATGGAACGTTTTACTCTTCAATCGAAAAAAAATTATTGCCGAAAAAGTTCAAAAAGTTCTTCTTTCCTAAAATTAAGTTCTGAAGCACAGGATCGTTCGTTGAAATTTAGATAGATTTATTGAATTGTGGCGTTGAGTGTCTTCAGGAAGTGCGTGTTTAAATACGGAACTGATCCTTGTGCAAACTTCGCTGGAAATGTGTGGCCGGAGGCGGGGGATATTGGCTAAAAAGTAAATAAAATAGGTCGCTTAGCCACTCTGCTTAAATAGTCTTACGAGTCACCCCAAAAATTACTTTCACTGAGGTTGTCACCTCTGCTGCATTGTTCCTTTACAAAAAGATAACATGGAATCCCGCCAACAATGTAGATTCTTATCCATTGATGAATATGCAGTGCGTGAGGACAAAATGTTCCTCAAAAGAATAATGGTACATGAATAACTTAGATTTCTAATCAAGACAGAGAATGAGACACATGACCCGAAAAGGTTTGAGATAGGGACCAGTTTTGAGTTTATGTAAGTGCTATCAATTGTTCAAGATAGTAACCAGTTTGAGTTTATGTAAGTGCTATCAATTCTTCTTTCTGTCTGGGGACCTGCTGTCGTGACCTTGCGATCTCTAATGTCCGATGGGATCTGAAATAAAAGAGTGCAGTAAGATTTCGATTTGATGCCTAACAGTTTGTCTACAATACAACTTATCAACAACCTTTTTGATTTTCTAAACTTACGACTTTAACATGGCGCAGCCAGCAGAGAAAAAAGGAGGGGGGAAAATCCACTAAACATAGTAGCATTTTGGGAAACACGAACACCGTAACCTCCAGTTTACTGGGAGGAGTGGATAATTAAATTTCACTGGGGATGATAGCAAAATACGACATTGATCCCGATGATTTCTATTTTGCGAATACTCTAAATGCGGCGGCTATCACGGCGTTGCCTGAAGAAGTCAATGGGAAAAACCGTCTCGATTCGGAAAAGAAGTTAAAGTCTAACCTATATCTTTGTATCGGAGATGAGGCGCAACGGATATTCAAAGCACGGAAACCGACGGTTAATATTAAAACGGTACGGTACCCACGGGTCCTGGATGAGATGCAAAATGTTTTCCAACGTGAGCGGAATGTAACTCATGAACGGGGACTTTTCTACGGACGAAAACAACGTGAGAACGAAACGTTCGAAAAAATCCACGCGGAACTAAGCGCCCTAGCAGGTAGATGTGATTTTGCAAATGCGGCCGAAAATGTTCGTGATTTTTTCATTATGAATATGCGGGAATCGGATTGCCAACGAGAATTATCACGATCAACAAAGTTACCTGAGGAAGTCTACCGGATCGCCTTATCATATCAACGTGGTGAGCGCGCATACTAATCATATACGGGAAAACCAGCTTCAACAGCTCCGTCAATTTCAATAAAACAGGAACCGGTAAATAACATAAGAAGGGGACAAGGATTTTTTTGAGGTCGAGGACGTGGGGGACGTGGAGGATACACCCAAGGATCAAGTAGTAGCGGGGGAAGTGGCAATAACCGTAGGTGTTACAATTGCGACGCACAAAATTTTACCCTTGATCACATCGCGAGTTGTCCTGCAAAGGGAGCAACATGTAACTCGTGCCGAAAATTGGGACATTTTGAACGAACATGTCGAGGAATTAGACGAGGTACTAACCAATGGAGAAGACCAGGACGAGTCGGATTGGTTAGAGATGAAAATGAGCATCAACAGAGTACGCAGAACGTAAATGACTTGAATGAAGATCCAGTGTCGTGGGTGAACCAGCAGGGGAGCGGGGAAAATGAATCCATGACGTCAGAATCGGACGACTACATGGTAATGTCAATAAAAAGAAAGAAGAATGAGACTGAACTGAAGATCCCTGGGGCCCGCGTTCAAGTTGAGGTATCAGGAAAGAAGATGTGGTTGTGGATAGATAGTGGATCCCCAGTGACGATTTTCAGCATAACGGACCTAAAAACAACGTTAGCTAAGGCAAATATTCAACTACAGCCTTCAAAAGATGAATTTTTGGATTACAATAACAATCGAATAAACATACTGGTGAAGGTAACAGTGATGATATCATTAAACAGCTGGGCGGCACCAGCACAAGTATCAGTAATATCCAGAAATCATCAGTCAATCCTGGGGCGCGATCTGATGGGCACCCTGGGCCTCGAGTTAGTCCGACGGAAGAAAGTGATGGGAATCACAGGGGAAGGGATCAGTCAAGAGGAGGAGAAAGATGACGAATTGCAAATATACTTCTGTAAGTTGTACCCAAATTTGTTTACTAGAATAGGAAAGATCCGGAATGCGAAAGTAAGAGCTGAATTTTTTGAAAATTTGAGGCCTATACAACAAAAAGGGAGCAGGGTGCAGTTTGCGATAGTGAAAACATAACCATCATTAAGTTGTAAAAGTGTTAATGAGCGCAAAGAAATCGAAAACAATGACAGTCTAATTTTGAAAAAACGTCAACCCCCGTATTTCAAAGAAAAATAGTGACATTGATTACAATAGGTTGCAGATCCAACTGATTAAACTCAGCTGAGCAAAAAAAGTAAGCTGCCATCGGAATGTGTACCGGGTTATGTAGATCTTGAATAACATATTTCAGCCACTGTACCAACCACTCTGAACTTATCGACTGAGTAAATTTGATTTGAGTTGATAACCGAGAATTGCCAGTTGAACAACGGTTAATTCAAGTATTTGCGTCTCAAAATTATGCTAGGTTTTAATAAATCTGAGTTGATTGACTAATTCAACTCGACCCAAATGAGTGTCTTCACTGCGTTTAGTTACAACTTAAAGTCCCCGCAGTGACAAAAATGAATAAAAATCGATTATCTATAGAAAATATGCAGATTTCAGATCTGTTGTAATTTTATCTAATAAAACTTCTTCGATTATATAGTTTTAATAATCGATTATAACGCGTTTTTTTTGCAAAAATTTTATTCTGTATATCTTCATTTTATAGTCATTGCCAAAACACTCTAAAATTGTTTTTTTTCTGTATCAAATTTTACGCATACTATAAATAGATTATGTACACATTATCGACAGATTATCTACATATTATCAACAGAATATATGTTGATTATATACAGATTTTATACAGACTACATATAGATTATATACCGATTATATCCAGATTATATACGGAGACTATATACAGATTATATACAGATTTTATACTGATTTTCTCATAATTCTAGTCAATTAGATAGAATGAGTATATTGAAAAAAAATAATGTAGGCTTTTTAGTGATATTTTTGTACTGATGTTTGATCTGAAAAAAAAAGTTAATTTCCTTTTTGTGTAAATAGAATATTGTTAAAAAGTAAATTGCTCCATGTAAATTTTTTTATTTTTTATTGATGTCTTTTCACAAAAAGGCGCTAAACAGGTTGATCTTTTAAGTTGCATTTGAAGAAGTTTTGCCCAAAATTATTTTTCTTACTGCGGAAACCCTTAGATTGCAAAGCTTTAAAGGAATCTCTTGAACCAATATTTTGCGGTAACCAATTTTTGTCAAGTGAGTTCAGTTCACTATAAAACTGAGGAGAACTTTTCCTGATTGCAATATTTTGTCAAATTTGTCAAAAAGATCATTAATTTAAGTTTTGAATGGTCCTCAGTTTTTATACAGATTATATACAGATTATCTACGATTATCTACATAATATTTATAGATTATCTACAGATTAACTACAGGTTTCATTGTATAAAGATTGTACTGACTATATGCAGATTATCTACAGATTGTTTTCAGGTTTTGCACAATAGAAAATCGATTATTTTGGCATTAAAATCCATTCATTTTTGGTTGAAAAAAAATGAAATCTATCCGTACAGAATTTATTATGTTCCCAAAATGGCTGTAGATAAATCAAATCTATTAATCTGTAGGTTTTTCTCTACAAGTTATCGATTTAATCAATTTTTATCTTTTTTGTCACTGCGGGTCATCAAATTCAGCAACAAAGCGTATCAAAAAAGTTTTACGAAGTAAAGATAAGTTGAACTACAAGTTGCAGGAGTAAATGAAAAACAACCACAGAGGCTTGACTAATGGCAAACACTAGCCACCAATAAAGCAAAGAACAGATGCTGGGAAACTTCCGATGCTGCATATTTTGATTATAGCGAAGAAACCATTTTTAATGAACTCTTCAATTTGCGACTTGTGTTGTTATGATACCTCATTTGAGTCCCTGTGAAGTTTTTCTTTGTCAATTTGACTTGAAATCCACCCGAAGCCATATTTCTTTCCCGTTTTTTTCTTATCGACAGCCAAACACCTAAAAAAAATGAAACCTATATCCAAACTGTTTTTTTTTCAGATTGACTTTTTCCTTTGACAAAATACCCATTGGAGCAAGCCTAAAGAACTAATTTTATTTTCTCAGTATGAATTCCAGTATAAATTCAAATTTACAAGTGAAAACAAAATTTAAGTCAGACAAGATCTTCAATTTTCGCTAATACACGCAAAATGACCAACAAGTTCTTTTGAAATAATTTGAGACAACCAAAATTTAAGAGATCGAAAAAGTTACAAACGTTGTCTACGTTTATTGAAGTCAGCTAAATACAGTGCTGATTTAAATTAGCAGGACAAAACGAACAAAAATTGAATTTTCAAGCGCGTTTTTCTCAAATTTGGTTAGGTTAGACAAAAAGTGAGGAGAACAGAGTTGTTTAGAATTTCACCAAAATGAGTATGGTCCAATTTTTTTTAACCGAAATTCTCAACAAAAACTTTACCCCAGAAATGGCTAATTTTGGCTTTTTCGAATTAATTAAAACCTACTCGGACACTAATTTGTTTATTGACAAGAAAATTACAGCAGAAGAAGCCTCATACACATCCCAAGAAAATTCTAGAAAGGTAAAATCTCTAAAAATCTGTATAAATCAAATTCTGTTTGCTTGATAGTCAAGAAATGTGATTTTTACTATATAAAACCTAAAATCTTTGCTTAAAACAAATTTTAAACAGTTTGCACAAATTTTTGTAGATTTTACCTTCCTAGAAATTTGTTGGGATGTGTAAGAGGCTTCTTGTGCTATAATTTTCTTATCCATAAACAAATTAGTTTCAGCTTAAATCATTTAATTAAAAAAAGCGAAAATTACCAATTTCTGGGAGTAAGTTTCTGGTAGATAATTTTGATGAAAAAAAATGCACTTTAATAATTTTGGTGAATTTTTTTGCACCTTTTGTTCTCTTACTTTTTTGTTTTATGTTAACCAAATTTGAGAAGAACGCGTTTGAAAATTCAAGTTTTGCTCGTTTTGTTTGGATAATTTTAATCAGCGCTTTATATTTGCCCGTCTTAAAACACGTTTAGAAACCCTAATTAACCAAAAAAATGCGTTTGAGTTTTGACCAATTAAATTAGCTAAAATGGTAACTTAGGGCATTTTGAGCAATGTCTAGGCCAACACAGCAAATAGCAAACTTTTTTGATGCACTAATTATTTAAAAATTGACTGTTTTTATAAGATTCTCATATACCTCACGACAAGACTGCTCGTATCAGGGCGAAGCCCTGAATGTTCTGGCTGCCTTTTAAGATTTATGTAGCAGAAATAAAATTTTAAAAAATGTTAAAAAATGAAATGAAAATTTGTTTGAAAATCATCCCCCCACTCGCCATATAAAGTACAAAAGGATAGATTTTGCTCCTTGTAATAAATCAATAATGGCAACTAAGCTTCTTTCATCCAATTTGGAACCATTTCCAAGACGGATTAACTCTTCGCTATCGCGTTAATAGCGCGAAATATATCGCGCGTTAATTGTCCCAAATTGGCCAAACTGACAATCTTTAAACCCCCAAAAAAATCTAAGTAAATTGATCACAGGTAATATATCTTTTCAAACTTCAGCTCAGGACAACAATGCCTTTTGATTGCTATAAAAAAATTCCGTCAAAAATGGCTAAATTAAAAGTCGAAATTCTCTGAAGAAAAAAAACCCACTCCGAGCAAAAATATTCCGTTACTTTCGTATCGAAAGTCGAAATAATAATATGTAAAGAACTAAGTGAAATATTTTGCGTCTAATAGATTTTTTACAATAGCAACTAGCTCAACTATAAATTTTATATTTCAAGCTCCGGCCAAATTTGTCTTTCAGATGGTGTTAAAAATGAAAAACAGCCCGGTATACAGAAATACTGCAAAATACCGATGTTGGACTATTTAATTAAGGTTCCTCAGAGATGCGGTATTATTGCCGAAAAGTTCTCGTAAATTGCAAAATTTTGAATTTTTGAACTTAAGGCTATTCACTAAAAAATGTTGCATTTTAGCTCGTCTTTTATCTAAATATAGAAGCGAAGCTTCAGTTTTGCAGACACAGGTGAAAAAAACGGCAAAAACTAAGGATACGTCCTAGAATCTGAGCTTAATAATTCTGAACACAGACATGATGCTGCGGTTCGTAAACACAGGCTAGAGAGCGAGAGAAAGCAGCTTTAAAAAGTGAAATAAGAATATCTAGAAACTCGCCTTGAATGAGTAAAACTTTGTTTCTATATTTTGTTAGAAAGTTAAACTGCAAGAAACCGACGTTGACCAACCTATGGGAGCTTGTCAGAGGTATTCTGGTTCCCGAAGAACCCTCGTAAATTGCACAAGAAAAAATTTAAAATGATTGAGAAGTGAAGATCAATTTAGCACTCTAATTCCACTTGTTTTTTACAGCTGAACCAGAGGAGGATCTAGGATTTTCTTGATGTGGGTGGGGCGGATTTTCAAGAAAATTTCGAAAGTTTTGATGACCTTCTTGGGGCGCGCGCTCCCAGTCAAAGTTAGCATATTTTGGCACCGAAGGTTCCTTTAGATAAATTTCAGGGTCGGGTCGGCCAAAAATTGATTTCTTAAAAAGTTTCAGAGGGGGATCCTTTGGGGCGGCAGGGAGTCGAATCCCTAGGTGGGGGGGGGGCGTCCGCTATCGCACCCCCCCCCCCCTAAATATGCCCCTTATCTGATCAATAATACTATTTCAAAACATGGAAAAATTACATGGAAAAAATGGACCCTACTGTAGCAAAAGCGCTGCATCTGTATTAATAAATTTCATCTACATCTAAATTTATAGCTCACCTGGTGAACTGTTCTTGGTTTTCCATTAAAACAAAAACATGCAACCCTAAATGCCTTAATTTTAAATACTTTTTAGAACAGATAGCTGGAGAAGTGTAAAAAAATGTATGCTTGATTTTGCAGTAATAGTTATCCTATTTAGAGAATACTGTAGCATTAGTGAAATTTTTAATCCGCTTGAATTCTGAAAATTTAAGTCGATTACTGAAACTTAAGTCGATCACGTTGTCGTGATCTTTTCACTTTTGCCGTTCGTGATCATTAATGTACTTTCTAAAAATTGTTCAATTTATTGCTTCGGGAATTTGATTTGAAGTATTGAAATAAATAAGCTCAAAATAGGCAGCTAATTACGTCTGAGAAAAAGTTTTGAAACCGACATTTTGATTAAGTTCATATTGATTAAGTGGGGACCGATCGTTTAGCAGACAAATCTTTTAGCATAAAAAGTGAAACATGAGTAGCAGACAAATGTGATAAAGTGATGGATGATTGGTTGACAGACTCAAAAAGACGCTCAGCCTGAGGCCAAGCTTCCCCAATTAAGTCAATTATCTCACGATGTCAACAAAACTATCAACTTCAAAAACACAACAGTCTAAATTAGCGGCAAAACAAAGATTTACGCGCACAATAAAACTCGTGTTGAATTGAAGCGCAGCGGAGCAAGCGGTCGCTAATCGCCAATGCCGCGCTTGAAGTTAGCTATCACACTTTATAATTGTTCTGCGTCTGCTAAAAAACCGGTCTGCTCAAATCCCTAGCACCTGATTAAGTTAACTGCAGTAGTTCCTTAAAGTAAGAGTAATTTGGGACCCTTTTCTCACACATGGTTTTTACCGAGTAGCTTAAACTTGTACCAAAAGATCATCAAGACGTATGTAATTGAGAAGCACTTCGTCCTTTAAATAAAAATAATCTATAGCTCTCGGCCTTATCTTTCTCAGATTAACATAGTCTAAGTGTCCTTCAAAGAAAAGATGGGCCTGGTAAAAATCTATTGAGTCATCATTTCACGAACTTTGTACGTGAACAGCAGAGAACCAAAACTACAGCATCTAGAGAGGCAGAAAAAGAGCACACTTTCATACTAATTCAGCATACATATCATCAAAATTGAATTTCATAGCATCTTTTTCAATTGAATTACCCGTCGTGAATTAATTTATATTCATCAGTTACGGTAATAAAATTTCTTGATGGTGAGTCAGATTATGAATGTTGCAAGGACCACTTCAACCATATGATCAAAACGTTTTCACACTACTTCCAATAATCCTTGCCACAAACAATTTCATTTTTGTCGGTGTCACTATTAAATAGTTGAATTACTTGCTAAAAACTCTAATTCCAGAAGAAAAATAGTAAGATAGCGAAAGAACAATTAATTAGAAATGAGACAATTTTGAAAAACGAAAATTTACATCATGTATGAAAAATAAAGCGACTACTGTAACATTAATCGTCAAAAGCATCAAAAAACAACGTTCAAAAAAAATCCAAAATCGATTTTCTGGAAAAAAATAAAAACAGCACCATGTTTGAGCAAACTTTTTTTGAGGGGGAAGGTTCAAAATTACAAATTCGAAAAAATGAGAAAATTTAGACAGACGGGTTAGCATAGGGATTGAAACATGAAAGCATATCAATACTTATATACGCATGCATTTTTTTTTGTCTAATTCACATTGGAAGGTGATACATATGAAACATTTAGGTGGTCGCTGGAAAAGCCAAAGTGAACATTATAATCCAGATCAGTAAAAATCAAAACAATTAATTTTGGGATAAAATAAAGTATCATCTCAATAAATTTCGCTCATCTAAATACAAAAAACATCAGCTTGTGCGTTTAGAATATGCAAACGATTCTCCAAAACTTCATATCAAAATCTATGATAAATATATTTTTTCAGAATTGTTCACATTTCTTTAGCCAGTTGAAAATAGCCTAATAAAGAAACTGAATAAAATGAATTTGAAACTTCATCTACATTTTTCTTTCAGGACAATTTTACTTCCTATGTTGGATGGAAACATGTGAATGGATGCTGTACTGAACTAGGTAATTGAATTTCTAAACTTTCAGGTATAAGTTTTGTATCGCTGATTGTGTCTCGTGGAGCAGTCTTCGATTTTAATCTAGAATTTGAATCCTGACTTTGGGATTTCCATGGATTGGGCGTCAAATTGGTATCCTTCTGCCTGCTACAAAAAGCACAAAAATAAAAATAATTTTCAAGAAATTAACCAATGTAAATACTGAACCCGACGACGTGATATCAAAATAAAAACATAAATGTCCTTAAAACTCTTTGAATTTCTAGAACAATCTATGATTGTCAATGTTTAAATTCTACTAAACCAATTTGAGAAAATTTGATCAAAAGGTAAAATTTTTTATTCCGCTAGGAAATCTGAAAATTAAAACCCATTTTAGAACTGTAAAATTCGATCACGTTTTTCGTGACCATTACACTTCTACTGTTTGATAGTGGAGTTTGCCTTCGTATTAACAAAGGAAATGAACTGATTGGAAAAAAAAATCACAGACGGCAAAAAAATCCAAGTTGAGCGTGAACAAATTTTAAGACTATTCCTGAGAAAACCATCACGACCAACATAAGAGTGTTCACTACGTTAATTAATCTAAAGAAATAAAGCCCAGATGTGCTTGTGCTAACCCCTTCTCCGAAGTACTCGTCGATGATCTTGTATGCGAGTGAGTATATCTCGTGGCTCTCGTGTGTCTGTAGCTGTTCTATCTTGTCCAGGCCCCCACACTCTTCAATCTGACTGGTCACGTGGTCTCTCGTCATCTCATCACTGCCTCCAGGTAGAGATCCCACGTGCTTCAAGATGTTTGAGAGGGATTCAAGTACGCATTGGACAACTGTGGCGTCTTTGTATGCCAGCATGTCGCACAGAGGTTGAATCACTTTAAGTTTCGCCACATAGACCACCTAAAACGTAGTATTTTAACATGTGACAATGCAGAATGGAGTTCACAGTATCGGAATCAAATTATTAGCACATGAAACACGCTTTTCGGTCTGATGTCGTTTTGAATGGTCAAAATTTTAGCCAAAAATGGTTGAAACTTTAGTACAGTTCTTCTGAAAATGTTGATTGCGTGAGACGTCTAGTAATTCTGGTTAGTTTGAGGCTCCCGTTTCGGTGAATCATCAAGCCATCAAGTGGTGCAAGGATAGCAGAGCCATGGCGGTAGTGTCTAAAGTAGTCTACGCCGTATCTGCGGAACACCAGAAAGAGGAATGGTTTTGGTTTATTAAGTAGATTGAGTTATTGTTTAAAATATTGATCTCAACCAATTCACAAATTTTTTTAATCAACATAATCAGAAAGTTGCATTTTAATACAGTTTTTCATCTACGAACTTTCTAAGTTTCTGGCGACCTCGGGTTCACTCCCAGTGGTTAAAAAAAACTTGTCTTGCTACATGGTCAAATCCCCCTTACCTGTTTATCAATAGAACTCACCTTCCTTTCATTAATTTAATCAAAATTTTGCGAAATGAGCGTTACGCAAATCTCGATAAGATAGCGAGAGCCTGCCTTGAGTCCCATAGCAAAGATTACTATCCAACTATTGAAGAAACGGAACCTAATCCCAACGATGGGGCAATTAATAGGGACTGAGTAAAATGAAAAAAGTCAATCTGTTAAGAGAAGCAATATAGCAACTGCGATCCCTTGACCGAAAAAGAGAAATTATCGACTCAAAACACTGAATTTGTGAAAGCAATTCAGGAAATCAACACTTGATGGCAAAATTGATATCATAGCGAAAAACTAGCGGGCCTGAAAAATCAACAACAATTATACAAAAAGCAATCCCATTTCGTCCAGGTACAGCACAGAAAATGAAAACAAATATCTAAATCAATTCGAAGTGGACGGAATTGAAGCCAAAAGTGAACCAAAAAAACCATTACAGGTCATGAAACATCAATAACCAATGAACTAATTGTTTTTATTTGAGTTACGGCAAAAATAACTAATATTGAACGACTAGGAAAACTTGATCAGCAAAAAGTGCGTCGTCGAACATATTGGTAACAGTGAATGATCCTTGGATGTCAAAAAAAATCTAGGCAAGTCGGCTAAACTGCTAACAACTAATACGTCTGTTTAAATCAATCAATGCTTTAAAAAAGAAGAATCTCACGCCTACTATGACTTGCTGAAAAAACGGTGCGACGCAATCAATTCGTGAGTAAAGCCAAGTGAGCTCAGGATAAGAAATACGAACTTGTGGTGAAACTGAATACAAGGATCTGACTAAAAACAGCTAGGAGTACTTCAATTCTTCTGTATAATACTCAAAGTCATCAATTTGAAACTGAGACAACTCTTATAAAGCAATGTCATGGTTATGAATCCCGATATATATTATTTTAAACCAAAACATGGTTCACCTCACAGCAAAAACAACTCTGAGCTCTTTCTATTCGATTTAATTTTCTATCGGGGAGATCGAAAAACAGACGGTATCTCTAAATACGGTGGAATAGCTATTGGTGCTAAAAAATACCATAACTCAAATCTCAAAATTTCCCGGAAATCTGCAACAAGAAGCATGTTTCCTTGTTAACGTTCATGAAAACAATAGCATTCTACTGTTTTGTGCTATCTATAACGCTCCCAAGAGGTAGCAAATATCGACGTTGAATGGCAGACTCTTCCGTGTTTCTAAATCTTCTAAAACACTCCGATTTTAAAAGGATTTTTAGCTGGCCAATTTTATCTGCCGCAAGCTGATGGGGAAACCTACATAAAAGACAACGGTTACGAGCTAGAACTCCTGGATGTTTTTTTTCTGACTATGAAAAAATACTAATCATACAAATTTCATACATTTTGCTATGGTCACATCATGCCAAAATGGTGACGTCGAACTTTCGAAAAACTTTTCTGTTGCTTTGGCATAAAATTCGGTGTATCGTACTAAATAAAACAGAAAAACTTTTTGTCAAAAAAAAAAATGCTAATCATACAATTTCCATATATGGAAAATGTATGACTAACATTTTTTTGATGGCGACGACAAAAATTTTTCTGTATATTTGAAATTGTTCCCAAAAATTTTTTGTGTTTTTTTTTCAACCGCAAATTGATTTTCGTACCCAAACAAACATTTTTTGACAAAAAAAATTTGCATGCAAAATTTAATTTTTTGTGTATAACGTAGTCCTGGATATACTAATATTGGATTTTTTTTCCTTTTCTCTTCATAAATTTTTTCAAAAACGCTTAAAACTCCTCTTTCTTTTGTATGACATTTTTTGTATGCCTTGATCAATGATTGATTATTTAAAAATTCAAATTTTAGAAATAATCATCTTTGAAAATTTTTGTCAAAATTTAAAAGTTCGTTATTTTCGTTATAATATTTGTGTGTGACAGAATTCACACATTTCCAATGCATTTTTATTGCGAGACGGCCAAACCTTTGGTTACTACGTTTGAGTAACCAAGGTTTATGTCATTTGTGTTCATATTTTTGGTTTATGGAAAATGCTCGTCATACAATTTTCATACAATTTTCTGTACTTATGGAATTGCATGAAAAGTGTATGATTAGCATTTTTCAATATATGAAAATTGTATGACTAGCATTTTTCTTTCGGGTATTTTCTTTCAACTCGGGTATTTTCTTTCAAATTTGAACGAGTTTCTTTCAGCCAATCAGTTTAAATCCTAATTTTATGGCAATCAATCATTAGGATGGTTGATGACTGGTACCTATGGTTTTGGGAGGCCTTACAAAAACTCACCCCTAGAAGAACTCGACAACGCCAAATTATGCCTCCTCTGATAACAGAAGAAACAAACCATACGACTTACTATTCTCGGCATCAAAATCCGACAATCGCTGAATACCAGCTTTTTTTTACAAACAAAAACAAAAACGATGCATCAAGTTCGTAAAGAAATCCAGGAAAAAGATTATCAAGCAGATAAAAAATCCAGGAAAGAGATCAAGCAGATTATGAAATAGAATGAGTTCTATTGTTCAATGGGAAAATACAACCGCAAAGACAGATCTGGAAAAAGCTGATTGTTATAATAAATACTTCGCATCCGTTGTTAGCTCCAATTTGCCTTTTACTTTCAATACCCTGAATCTTATTCAGGTTAATTCGTTTAACTTTAGCAGAATCGAAATCGCAAATTAACTTCTTATTCTGAACATCAGGAAGCGAAAAATTTAGAGTTAGCCACCTGTACTATTCAAAGAGTTAAAACAATTTCCCTTTCTTCAGTTAACAATTACTGGAACTATTCAATTACTATTCAAGCGAGTTTCCACCCAAACGGAAAAACAGTACCATCACTCCTCTTCGCAAAGGCGATTCGAAAATAATGGTAGATAACTGTAGACGCTTTTCGAAGCCATTTGAGAAGCTACATTGATCAGCTGTCCTGTCAAGAGGTGACCTTCGGTACCTCGTAATTACCTACTTTTCCTCACACCTTTTTGCAGTATTGTGCAAGCGGTTACCTTCAAGGCCACTTAGGACCGACTTAGAAACATTAAGTTGAACACGGTTACTCTTGATTATGTTATGCTTAGAGATAGGTGTTCAAATTCTTGTGGGAAACTTGGATTGATCAATTCTTCTTGGCAGTGGGTCTCAAGGATAATATCAATCCCAATGACCTCCTCGACGATCCAGCAGATATCATCGACGAACCTCCTCCGAAACCGCAGGCACCAGGACAAGGCGAAGATGCTGCTGAGACCAGTGCCAGGATCCTTCGGGATCAGGCAGCTGTCCGCAGAGCGACTGAGTTTAATCAGGAATGAAGGAGGAAAGGACCACGAATCAGTCAAAACTGGTTTTACCACGAGGTGGAGGCTAGATTAAAGTCGCGAATTTTCTTCTCACTTGACAATGAAGGCAAGAGGGGATACGCTGACTCTTTCCCGCACACCGACATCAGAGTGACGTCATTCAAAGAGTTCCAAGCTAGTTGTGAAGTCTAATTCAAAATTGACCAAGATTACACGGCTGAACGCATAAAACTTTATAATACCGTTTTCATACTAGACTATGATACCTTTTCGTCCTTTTGCGCCCGTTTCAGTGCGCAAGTCTCGCCGTGTGCAACTGGCCGACCGCTCAGGAGAGGGCAAATTTATAAAGACCTCTTCATCGGAAGGATAAGGGACGTGGACGTACAACAGCAGCTTATCAAAGCTAAGACGGACCTGGACGGCACTTTCAAACTCGCTTTACAATGTGAAAAAGCAAACACGTCTGCACAATTTCAGAAACTCTCTCCGCACAATCAGAATCCAGTCCTATAGAGGCAATTTTGGTAAGCACGGTGGCCCTCATAACCAATCACATTGTCAAAACCAAGGAAACCAAGGCAACAAACCCTGTTACTTTTGTGGCAATCCTTTCACTCCCGATCACAGGAAGTCGTGCCCGGCGAGAGACGTCACGTGTAACTTATGCAGAAAGCGCGGAAATTTTGCTAAATGTTTCAATTTGTCAAAACGAAGAGTGAATCTAGTTCATGAGGAGGAGGAAACACCTAGCCCCGCGTTAGACTGTGGCTTTATTGACGTCGAAAATGACAGCGAGCCCGAATACGGAGTTTTCCATTTGGAAGACACAGTGCAGATTAACAGTATTGAATTATTAACGTCGGCTGCGGGGAAGCCCAGGAGTCTCAGTATTCAACTTCGATCAGCTTCCAGTTTTTTATTCCACTATCGATACCGGAGGTCCGGTTTCATTCCTCAGCAAACGCACATTAGATCTATTAATCTCACGAAACCTGTCAATCCATTTCCGGGACATCGCACGACGCCCGATAGGAACCGCGTATGTGGATTAGTACAAGCATCCTATACGGTTATTTGGATATTTTACGATTCCTGTTTCGTCAAACGGGTGGAAAATTGAAGACGCTACTTCTCTAGTTTC